CGTACATCCGAGAAACATGCCTCTAATTGATCCGAATCAAAAGGTAGCCACCATAGATTGGGAAATAATGAGTCTATGATTTGATTAATGGCTTCCTTCAACATAGAAGTGAATACGCAGTTTCCTATTATTAGAGTTTAGCATAGTGCACGGGGTCATCTGCACGATGAAGAGGGGGAACTGGGACGGGGGCGACGTTCAGTGGCAGCGGTCGGCGCGTCAAAGCGAGCGAGTCGCTGTGCAGCACGGGCGTCTCGGGCGTGATTTTGGAGTAGGAAATGCTGGCTATCATGGGGAGCCAGGTTGACACGCTGAAAGGGGGCCAAGAAAGGAAGGCGTGTAGAAATGAGGTTTAGCGAACTTCCAAAATTAAATCAAGAAAATTCAGAATCGGTTTGAGGGAGGAAGGGGAAATTTTCCAAATTTGGGCGAAAGGATGAAGAGACTGGCGTGGAGTGTAGAGGAGGGTATGCATAAGACAATCACAAAGTCAAAATAAAATTTCGAAATTATTTGGACGTAAATTCGGAATTTAAAGAAACTTTAAGCAAAATTCAATTAATTTAAAAAATATTCATTAAAAAAAATCCGAAAGTTTGGGGAGCTGATAAAAGATGTAGAGATGAGTGCAGAGGAGAATTTTGAATGAAAATGGAAAATTTCTTGACGTATTTATGGAATTAAAAGAATTTCGAGGGCGATTTGAAATAAAAATAAAAGACTAATTCCTAATTGAAGAATTTGTGATGGAATGCCATAAAGAATTTAATGACAGTCAAGTAAATTGAATTGGGAGGGTCAAGAAAGCTAATCTAGAGAAGTGCTGCCAGGATGAAGGAATTTCCTATATCAAGCTTGATCAAGCCAAGATGGATGTTGCGGAGATACGAGCTCGTTAGGACTATGACGACTGGCTCCGTACTCCCAAAGGGAATGGGGAGGAGGAGGATAACAATCAGGGTTACGCCACCTCTGCTGAGGAGATACAAGATGTGTGAGGACGCGCCCTGAGCGTATCTTATCTTCGCAGCTTGGCGCTCTTCTGTCGCGACTATCGTGGTAATTTACCCTATGATCAGATCGGTTGTATTTTTCGCCTGGTTATTATTCTTTTGATTATTTCTGGTCAGATCAGATGGGGAGCTATTTAACTATTGAGATGAAATTAATAAATTGTATCGACATGTTGTAAAATTAAGAAGAATTTCAAAGGATTTCCAAAAGATTCCAAAAGAATTTCAAAAAGAATTGCAGAATTTCGGAATTCAACGAGGGATTGAGAGTAGAAGTAGAGTGGACGTCAGAAGGATTAAATTTAGTAAATTCCAAAATTTATTTCACGAATTTCTAAATTAAAATCAAATTTAGAATTTAAAATTAATTTACAACAATAATTTGATATAATAAAGACTTTCACGTAACTTTTGAACAAAACGCCGGAATTAATTCCGCTCGCGGCTCTGGAAGAAGAGAGAATGATGATTAATCCTATCGAATAAGGTCGACGTTCTGCACAGAGGGATGGACGACATTGTCACACAAGCACAAAAAAAGGATATACGCATCACACGCATTAGGAATTTTAGCTGATGCGACCAATTGGGTGGGATGGGAGAGGAGAAAAGGGGGAATGGAGAAGAGATAGAAGAAGGGGAAAAATGTGAGAACCTTGGGAGAGATCGGTGGGAGGAAGGGATGAAATTAGTAAGAGGAGGAAAGATGGACGATACCTCGCTCCCGGTCGGCCGGGAGCAATGGGTGTCCTTCCTCCTAGTCGAGGAAGGTCTTCAAGCAACCCCTAAAGGGTCTTCTCGATCATTCCCCCATGGAACGACAAGGTCGCCGGATTGATTGCGCGCAACAGTGTAGAAGAGTCGTCGTCAAACGATTAAGAAGCAACGTCGCTATGAACGCTTGGCGGCCACGAACCAGTTATCGCGGTGGTAACTTTTCTGGCGCCTCTTGCTTGAAGTCCTAGGATCGATAAACCACCCTCTCACAATCTGTATTCGTACAGGAAATCAAAATCGAATGAGTTTTTGCCCTTTTTCTTCACACGAGATTTCTGTTCTCGTGGAGCTCATCTAGGACACCTGCATTATCTTCTTTCAGATGTGCTGCTCCAGCCAATAGTCCCGTCGTGCGAGTGTGCGCTGGAGAAAGTATGTGGGGGGGATGGAGCAGCAGGGTGGGGATAACGTGGCAGGGGATGGGAGATGGGGATTGGAGCGGAGATGTGAATTACGGGGGGCGGGGAGCGGGGGAGGGAGTGGGAGGAATCGCGCGGGGTTAAGGAGCAGGATCGCGATGTAGGGGAGGAGGGGGGTTGCGATGCAGAGGGGAAGCCGGATCAGGCGAAGGGAGCAGGATCGGGCGGTGGGAGCAGGATCGGGCGATGGGGCGGGGGAGTGGGATCGGGTTCAGGGAGGAGGCAGGGAAGTCATGCGCACGTGCGTGCAAGGGGGGTCAAGGTCGGACGGGGTTAGGCTTGGGCGGAGGGAAGGCCGGGACCGGATCGGTGGAAGGGAGGTGGGTGGGGGGAAGGGGATTGGTCACGATCAGGGTGAGGCACAACGGATGGGGGAAGGGGGTTCCGAGGAGAATTGGGGGAAGGGATCAGTATGTCGGGGCACGGTTGGGGGGG